TTCTTCCTGGAGCATTACTTCTGCTATGCATATGTGGAGTTTCTGCGCAAGGGCGCCCTCCGGCTTCCAGTATGAATTAAACAGTCATTACATTACGTGTGTACTCAGTAATGCTCACAACACCCTATTTTGGGTAAAAATAGGAAAGACAATACTTTTCTCTAAAGAAACAGGATTCCCTAAATTATCGTCATTGATATCGTTATCGCAATAAATATCAGAAATTATACAGTAATTCAATTACGTGTGTACTGCTCACAATACCCTATTTTGGGTAAAAATAGGAAAGATAATACTTTTCTCTAAAGAAACAGGATTCCCTAAATTATCGTCATTGATAATGTTATCGCAGTAAATATGAGAAATTATCGTGATATATTTTTAAGCCCATATCGCCCATCCCTAGTATTGGGACAAATCTGCTGTCTCAAGCTGTTGTGACTGAAATATGGATTATTTTTTTTTTAAATAAACATTTTTAAGTTTGATTCAGAAATGTAGATTTAAGCTTGAAGGTTCAGAAATTGAGCGGTGGTGAGAGTAAAGCTATTGGCTGTTTGATTGGGCTGTCAGTTCTTTTGTGTAGTGAGTATGAGTAATACACTCTAAAAAATGCTGGGTTAAATATAGGGCTGCACGATTAATCGCATGCGATATTTAACGCGCATCTTGTCAGAAAGTTGTATTTAACCCAGCATTTTTTAGAGTGTAGGGGTGGGCAGATCCTAATATCCATAGTATCGATTCCAACGGTATTGGTATCGGATCGATACTAGCCTGATGAGATCAATACTTTAGGTTAAGTTTCTCTCCTCTACTCTTAATACATTGTTTAATACATTCAACAAAGAGTAGACATCTGTGGGCGTATATGCATTATGCCACTTTAGATGTTTTCATTATAGTGGTTTTCTATGGGAGTAAAACGCTTAATGTAATTTAGCATGTTTGCGTATATATTCTGGGCTCAGCTGCTTGCCTGTACATACTATATTTTATTTTAAAAAACTGTATACCGAATTTGGCCTTTTTATAACACTGTCTTCCTCCATTACGCCATATCAAAAATGTTTTTTTATAATGGTTATCAATGAGAGGAAATGAAATTCAGCGTGTTGCATTCATATTCTGGGTTCATCTGCTTACCTTTACAGTACATACATAGTATATATTTAGTATATAATTTTATAAACTGTATACCGAATTTGGCCTTTTCATATCACTGTCTTCATCCAATAAGCCACTTACGGTAAACTTTTCTTTATAAGGGTTTTCTATGGGAGGAAAATCCATAATGTGAAAACTTTAAGCGTTGCTTTCATATTTGGGGCTCATCTGCATACTTGTATATCTAGTTTGCAACATTAATAAGGTGTATACTGAGTTTTGTCTTTTAATATTACTGTCTTAAGGTATTAAGCCACGTTAAGTTTTTTCTTTATAACTCTTTTCTATGGGAGGAAATTGCTTAATATGAAACTGCACATCGTTTTCATATTCTGGGCTCCTTTTAGAAAGGCAAATAATGTCCATGTAGCTTTAAGGTGAATGTAATATTTTAGTCATATTAGTTATTATTGTTCATTTTCAAAGTGTAATTGGTGATTTAAATGTATGTTTTTAAAAGGAAAAAGTATCGTATCGGTATCAGTATTGGCGATACTGGCCCTGTATTTACTTGGTATCGGATCGATACCAAAATTTGCAGTATCGCCCACCCCTAATGAGTAATGAGAGAAGAGAGGGATGTGCTGTTTAGATTTAGAACAATAGCATCTTTTTTATATATTCAGAATTCACTACTGTATTTTAAAGTTTAAAGTATTTTATTCTCACCAAGGCTGCATTCATTTGATTACAGTAATATTGTGAAATATTGTTACAATTTATAATAACTATTTTCAATTTTAATATATTTTCAAATGTATTTTATTTGTCTGATGACAAAACTGATTGTTTTAGGAGCCTTTACTTCAGTCTTCACAGGGGCGTAGCCATCATTTCAGAAGTGAGGGGGACAGAAATATCAAGAAATAACCATACATTTTTATTCTATAAGATTTTTTTCCTATGTTTTCCTAATGACAATTTTAAGATATGACTAGAAATTTTTTTTCCATTTTTATCACATATAATATATATTAATATATATTTATATATAATATATATATGTTTAGTTTCTATGCTAGTTTCTTATAAATGATAGCCTATGTCAATTAGCACTGCATTATTCATATACTTTATTTATTTATTATCTGGAGAAGACAAACACATATGAACCATATATTACAGAGGGTAGTCTGGACTGCTGAGCGAATCATTGGTACAACCCTCCCTTCTCTCCAAGAAATGTACTTATCCAGAGTGAGCAAAAGGGCTGGCAGAATCACTCTGGACCCCTCACATCCAGCACACTCCCTCTTTGAACTGTTGTCATCTGGTCGACGCTACAGAGCACTGAGCACCAGAACGGCCAGACACAGGAACAGTTTCTTCCCTCAGGCCA